GAATGGGGAGGGGGTGCTGAATCATAGGTTTGACTCTCAGTTCCATATACACACTTTTTAGCTGTGTGACCTTGGACAAGTTACTTAACACTTCTGAGCCTCAGTCTTCTTACCTATGAACATGAGAATAAAGCCTATCACAGGACTGTGACAAAGGCTAGTGGTGACACACTACACAGTAACATTTTGCTAATTATAACCCAATCGCCTTCTAGGAAGGGGGGCTTCGAATGAATGAGGAGCTTTTTACTTCACAGAGCAACTTTGAAGGTTTTAGGAATGCAGGTTTGAGGTGAGGAGCGTGGGTAGGGCTGAGTTCCTCTGGGTAATAAAGGGAGAATAATCTGGAGATGGCGGTCTACAGTGGGAGGGAGAGAGGAGTAAGGATGGAGGAGCAGTTAAATGGCCAAAGACCAGGTGTCTCATAAGGGAATAAGGAGCTTCTCCTTGTGCCCTCTAATCTTTAGGGAAGTCTATCTATTATCTATCTATCTATCTATCTATCTATCTATCTATCTATCTATCTATCTATCTGGATAGTCTTGCTCTGTTGTCCAGGCTGGAATGCAATGGCATCATCTTGGCTAACTGCAGCCTCAACCTCCTGGGCTCAAGTGATCCTCCTGCTTCAGCCTCCAGAATAGCTGGGACTACAGGCATGTGCCACGATGTGTTGCTAGTTTTTAAATTTATTGTAGAGACAGGGGTCTTGCCATATTGCCCAGGCTGGTCTTGAACTTGTAGTCTCAAGGAATCCTCCCACCTAAGCCTCCCAAAGTGTTGGGATTACAGGCGTGAGCCACTGCACCAGGCCAGGAAAGTCTATTTAAAATTACAAATTCTTGGTGTGAGTGCATATTTTTATGAAGAACAAAAAAGAACTCAGTTTTGTGTCTGGATTGATGTGGGGTATATGTGAACGCAAAATCCAAAACATCTATAAAGGTATCTTGGCCTATGAGCTGGCCTTCTGCAATGTCAGGGTGGCCAGGGGGTTTGTCCTAAGAGAGAGGATGTTTGAGGGTGAGATGGCCCCTAGAAGCCGGAAACAGAGAGGACCAGGAGGGCACCTGGAATGAACAGAATTGGCAGGGCTTTGGTCGTGCACAGGCTGTATGAGTGGGGGTTTTGTGCCCAGGTTATAAAAAGCTTTAAAAATATACATTCCTCTTCATCTAGAACTTCCTCTTCTGGGAAATTATCTTAATAAATATATCAAAAATGAGAACAAAGATTTATCAGTGAAGATATTCCTTACCTAAACAGCAGCAACAAAACACAGAAAAACTGGAAATAACCCCCAAGTAGGGTTGAGAAAACGAATGATGGTAATATGTGTCATGTAATACCAGGCAGCCATTAAAAATCATGTCATAGAAGAACAGTTAATGGCATGAAGTAGATTAAGTGAAGACCTCAGGTTTTGGAGCATTATTTATAGTAGGACCCGACTATGTAAAACAATGTAGAACTGTATCTGTGATAGGAAGAACACTAGAAAATAAGCATTAAAATGTTAATGATGATTATTGGTGGGTAGTGGGATTGTGTGAATTTTTTTGTTTTCTTTTTTTTTTTTTTTTTTTTGAGACGGAGTCTCGCCGTGTCGCCCAGGCTGGAGTGCAGTGGGGCGATCTCAGCTCACTGCAAGCTCCGCCTCCTGGGCTCAAGTGATTCTTCTACCTCAGCCTTCCAAGTAGCTGGGACTACAGGCGCCCGCCACCACGCCCGGCTAATTTTTTGTATTTTTAGAAGAGACGGGGTTTCACCATGTTAACCAGCATGGTCTCGATCTCCTGACCTCATGATCTGCCCACCTCGGTCTCCCAAAGTGCTGGAATTACAGGCGTGAGCCACCAGGCCTGGTACTTTCTATTTATTTTCTTTGTTACTTTTCTGGACTTCCTGATGTTGTTTTACAGTGAATACATGTTCTTGAATTCTTTATTCATCTGGGCCTTTCTGCTAGTCCTGGACCAGGACCTGGCTAGGGACAGCGATGGCTCAGTGTGCATTTTTCCAGAAAGATGACAAGAAGGGGGCAGTGGTAAAGCTTCCCTGGATAATCCCCTTGTCCTTGGGCCCTTCTGTTCCCAGGCTAGAGACTCACCTGCCAGGAAGCAGGGCACACGGGCTGTGGTGTTGATGAACTCACAGGGGCTTGGCTTCTTGCTGTCATAGGGCAGGTAGGGTAGCCCATGGTCTGAGACCTCCTGGTTGACAGCCATGAGGCCCAGGGGGCTGCTGAGGTTGCGGAGGCGGCTGGCCAGGCTTGGCTCGGAACTGTACACAAAGCTGGCATCCAGGAAGGAAGTCAGAGCATTGATCTGCTCTCGGGCCAGGGACTTGTAGGGTGGAGTGGGGCAGACAAATCCAGCTCGGAAGAAAGGCATGCATTTCCCTTGAGTCCTCTCCTTGGGGTCATTGGGTGGGAACTGCAGAGAGATTGGGCAGAAGTGACTGGGCAGGGGTGGAACAGCTGGGCCCTGGCAACCTCTCCCCAGGGCAAGTCTGGATGCAAAGATGCTGATGGTGCCTTCCTGGGACCCTGGTACCGGACACTGACCCCAGACACTTCTTGCTGACATTACACATCCTGGGCTCATAATATCCTGAAGTTCATTACATCCTGTTGTGTGAAAGAGCTGAGGGTAATCATTCAGTCCTCACAGTGAGGACTCCGAATTTTTGGTGGGGAGGGAGTCCTGAGCTCCCTGGACAGGAAAGCAGGACATGAGGTGGGAACAGATTTGTTAATAATTACTACTAACAACAGCTGCCATGTATTTATTTTGGGCTTACTGTGTGCCAGGAATTATGCATACTTTAACTCACCTCAGTCCTCGAAAAAACCCTGTAAGGTGGACAATTCAGTTCCATTTTATAGATGAGAAAACTGGGGCTCAGAAAAGTTAAGTAAGTTACCTAAGAACTTACACACTGGAAGGGAAAGATGTAGGATTCAGATCATTGGCTTCATTCCACAGTTTATGCTCTTTATACCACAGCACATAGCCTCGATTTATTCTGTGAGTGAATAAATGACTCTCCAACTGTAACACCCACGAATAATAGGAAAAGATGCATTGCTGCAAGCTCCTCTCCCTTCCAGATGGAAATTCCTACAAATCCCTGCTGCTCACTCGTATTCATCCAGGTTTCAGGTCCTTCTGAGTGGAGTTGAAGTCATCCTCTACAATGATGTACGGCAGCATAAACTTTAACATGCATAAAATGAATCTCTGGGGATCTTGGTAAAAATGTAGAATCTATTTCCTAACATCTTGGGTGAGACTTGAGATTTTGCATCTCTTTTTTTTTTTCTTTTTCTTTTTTATTTTTTGATATGGAGTCTCTCTCTGTCACACAGGCTGGAGTGCAGTGGCGGGATCTCGGCTCACTGCAACCTCTGCCTCCCAGTTTCAAGCAGTTCTCCTGCCTCAACCTCATGAGTAACTGGGATTACAGGCATGTACCACCACGCCAGGCTAATTTTTGTATTTTTAGTAGAGATGGGGTTTCACCATGTTGGCCAGGCTGGTCTCAAACTCTTGACCTCAGGTGATCTGTCCACCTCAGCCTCCCAAAGTGCTGGGATTACAGGCGTGCGCCTCCTCTCCCAACTGAGATTTTACATTTCTGATAAGCTCCCAGGTGTTACCAATGCTGCTAGGTCGGGGATGTAGACAACCTTCGCCAGTGTTCCCATTCTGCTATCAGTAGTTTACTTGTCCAATTCCCACGCTGGCCCTTTGTTCTTGAGAGCCGGAGCAGTGTCCTGTTCCCTTTGGAATCCTCAGCATTTAGTGCATTGCCTGGTATGGGGTGGTCAATGTCTGTTTACTGAATAAATGAATGAGTGAGGCATGGAAAACTACCAAATCAGTATCCATGATCTATCCAGAGATCCTAGCTGATGAGCTGGGAATGTCTGCTACATCAGGGTGGGCAAGGGGCTAGCTAGTCAGAGATGCCCAGCTGCAGGGCCTTACCATGATGGGGAAGCAGTTGTCTCCCTGGATACAGTACTCATCACACTGGGCTTTGGAGTACTCACTACTCCCCAGCTCGGTGTCAGGGGCAAAATCCAGGTCGTGATCTACAATCTGACCCCACTGCATGAAGAACAGGGACCTATTTTGGTCCAGAACACCCTCCTCATTCAGATAGCCAACAATCTTGTTAGATACCTCCCGGGCCTACAGATGGAGACAGAAGGGGAGGGCAGATTAGAGGAAAAAGTGCTTTGAGGATTCAGATGCAACTACACCTCATTAACTACCTACCACGTTACAAGTACACTTAATCCCTACAAGGAGTTTGTGAGGTGAGTGGCATTAGCCTCTTCTGTAGAGGGGGAGATTGAATCCTGGACAGGCAAAGTCAGTTCTCCAAGGTCCTGCTGCTACAAACGGACAGGGATGGGATTGAACCCAGATCCGTATGACTTGATGACTTGCCAGGCCAGTGCCCTTTCCACTAAGAGAGGGAAAACAAAGACAGGCTGCCTCTGAAATATGAGCTACGGAGGTGCCGGGTGTCCGGGAATAGAGAGGGGCTCTGGGTAGGGGCTGCCAGCTCCCATAAGGCCAACAAATAGGACCTCCAGGCAAACAACAGCTGATGCACTCCAGGAGCGAGGGTTGGGGTAAGCGCGAGCGGGATGGGGCAGGGAGGCCATCTGCCCGGGAGACCCCAGGGTATCTGGCCTGCGGCGACCGGGACGCGACCACCACGTGGCTGAGCTCCGGGCTCCGAGCTCTGCTGCCCTCTAGCGGCAGATGGGGGTCTGTGCAGATCTCCATCGCGCACCCCTGCTGCCCGCACCGATTTCTCCTCCTCCTTTCCCTGCGAGCATCCGGTTCCCTCTGACTCCCATCCTTCACCCCCGCCCGGCCTGCCCTCACCAGCGGGAGAGGGAAGCCGTTGCGCGTCTTCCCCGGCGTCCAGCCGAAGGGCAGGGAGAGCCCGTCCTCGTACTCCGCGGGCAGCCAGCGCGCCAGAGCCCTGTTGGCGGCGCCCAGCGCAGGCTTCCTCCTGAAACCAGCACAATCCTCGCTGAGCTTCTGCAGGCCGGCTCCGGGGCTTCAAAGCCCAGGACCTCATGGGGGAAGGAGCCTCTGCTCGAGGCGGAGGGGACGCAGAGAAGGGAGCCTCTCAAATGTGCGGTCTCTGAACTGCGCCCACCCCCTGAAGGCGCGGGGCTCCCCCGCCCCCGGGAAAGGTGCCGCTTCCAGAGACACACAGTGGGCTAGCGGGAGAAGGCTGGAGATGCGCGATGTTGAGAAGGTGGGGAAGGTGGGAACGCCAGCCCAGGTGGGCAAGGCAGTGGCAGATCTGCCTGGAGTGCCCAAGGAGCAAAAGTCTTGGAGGGGCGGGGCGGGGTGGCTGGAACGGTCGGTCCCCACACCCCAAGCCCTGCCACCTGTTGTTGCAGTCTCCGGTAATGGTGCGGTAAGGGCTGCACGGGTCGCATCTCACCACGGGAGCAGGGGCACCACAGCCCACCTCCAGAGACAGCGAAGTCAAGTCCAGGCTGGGGTCTGAAACAGAAGGGACTCCAAAGGGACTGAGTTCTTTTTCCATTCACAGGCACCCGTGGGAGGCAGAAAATGGAGACCAGAGGTGAACCTGCATGTTTTGGAATGCATTCCATTGTAAGTAAGCATTTCTCAATTAATCTGACAGCACATTAAGGTAATAAATTTTATTCCCATTTTACAGGGAAGAAAATGAGACTACAGTGTTCAAGAGACTTGCCCAAGGCCACACAGAGTAACTGGTAATGTTCCCAGAATTGCTAGTAATTCCTGATATACCAGGTCCAGATTCATTTGAATTGACAGATCTTTCTTTTAGAATGGAAATACCCCTGGGAGGTTAAGCATATGTTAGCATGAGTTAGTGTGATAAGACCACTTTCTTCTAAAGCTTCATTTACATCTAAAGTACCAAGCAAGCAGGGACATAGCGAGGACAGATGTTGGGAAGGGATAGGTAATTTTTCAGTGAGGGGCAGGGGTTGTGGGAGGAGTGACAGAGTAGAAGGGCTTTAGGCACCAGAGGGTTCAGTGGGGGCACAGAGTGGAGAGAGATGCCCACTTCTGAACACATACCCTCATGTGCATACCTCATCCACCCTGGCGTCTGCAAGAACAGGGAGGTGAGGGAATCTGGCTCATGGGGGCTTCTTTGGGGGCCATCTCTGAAAGGTGGCAGGATTTCAACTCTCAGAACCTTTTGGATTTCAGAGGTCAAAGTGCTTCCTACTTCTTACCCTGTCCCAGTTTCCTTTTTTTGGAGCTTTGGAATTTGCCCAACTCCTAGGCTAGGTTTCCCCCCTCACTTGATGTTTTCCCAGGGAGAACCTGCAGCCTCTTCCTCATGTCAGGACCAAACCCCTTCCTCATGACCCTCTGTGGGCTGTGGCATTTGGTTGGGAGTGAGAATGGAGGGGATGGAGGAGGCCATGACCAAGCCATCAGTTAAGTTCATTTACTGATAGCTCCATCTTACCCAGAACAAGATGGAAATCTTAGCTCCTGTGACATTATCCCAGTAAATTCCCCTGACACAAGTGGCTTAAATATCCCTTCTACTAGAGGAAGTGGTGACACTGTGGTTTAGGACAAGGAACCCATGTTTATTGACTTTAGCACTTCCTTTGGGCAGAGGCCTTACAGATAGTGTTATACAAAGAGCACCAATGTCCCCTCACTTGGAGTTGGCAATGTGAGCTTGCTAGGTCTCAGTTCCTTCCTCTGCAAAAAGAGCATTGCCCTGGCTGTCCTCTAAGCCCCTCCTTGCTCTGCCAGTCTCGTCTACTGGTCTAAGAAGGGAGAGACGGGAGTGTTTCTCTGAGTAGATAGCTCTCAACAGGAAGTGCAGCTTTGGGTGGCCTCTGCTCTCTCCTGTGGGGAGATGACCCCTTCCTGCCAGAGAGGGCTGGTGAGTTTTCTGTACCTGTGACATTGGTCAAGGACGCCTTCTGCCCCAGTCTCTTTAAAGACTCCTCCCACACCTGTCCGTTGCGGATGGCTGTACGCGTCCGGCCTTTGGCATGCTTGAGGTATTCTGAGAGCTGTCGGCTGGTGGGAGTCTCAGAGCTCATGGCGGTCTTCAGCCTACAGTAGAGGGAGATGGGGATCATGGCCTGGACCCTGTAGGAAGGGGGCTAGGGGCCGCTGGAGGGGTGGGAGGGGATGTGTGTACAACATGGCCTCATAACGCAGGCTGCTGCACTGTCCAATACAGTAGCCACTAACCACATGTGGCTATTTAAATTGAAACTTATTAAAATGAAAATTAAAAATTCAGTTCCTCAGCAGCACTAGACACACCTCAAGTGCTCAGTAGCCAGGTGTGGTTAGTGATGACTCTGTTGGACAGTGCAGATAGAGGACATTTCATCATCTTAGAAAGTTATCTTGGACCCTGCTAGCCTAAAGTGGGCTTAGAGCTGGACGGACACAGGGGTGGATCTGGGTTCCACCAGGATTGGTTTAATTATATGACCTCTGAGTGACTTCCCCTCATTTATGAACTGGGAATCACAGTTTTCTCCCATCAGAGACTTATGTATGGACTTTGGGATAGACTGACTGGGATTGGCTCCTGACTGCCACTTTCCAGTTGTGTGCCTTTGAGGCAAATTACTTACGCTCTTTGTACTCAGTTTCCTTATTGGTATAATGAAAATAATGATAGTAACCTTAGGTTGAACCATGCTGTTTCATCATTTTTGACCTTGAAAATAGCTATTTTCTACAGTTCGATTCAGTACTTCCTAGGATTTTGGGGAGGAATGAATGTAGAGCCCCCAGAGCTGTATCTGCACAGAGCACACACTCGCATGTGCGAGCATCACTGTTACCATCAGCCGGGTCCCACAGGGGCTCCTGCAAGGTATTAGAGTCCCTGCCTCACACCATGAACAAAGGCAGGCAGGCCGCTGGGCCCCCGTGGGCTTAGCCTGTAAGATCCCATCCAAGGTTCCAGATGTTCCTTCCTTTCCCGCCCCGCCCCGGGCTCTGCATGCTTCCCCTGCCTGGACACAGATTCACCAGGGACTCACCTCCTGCTCTGCCCTGGGGTTGGGCTCTGTTGGGGGCAGGCAGGTCTTGGAAGGACCTCTTTGCCATCTCCACAGTCTCTACCCCAGTCCTAGCCGTCATCCTCTCCTATCTAGACAGCTCTTACTTCCACTCTTGTCCTCTTCCCATTCGTTCTCCACAGGGCTGCTGGAGTGATGTTTTTAGCATAGAAATCAGACCGTGTCACTGCTGATTCAAGTGTTCTAATGGCTTACCCTGGGACAACACACATCTGCCCTCACCTTATGCGTGGTCTTCCTTGCCTCCTGCTTGCACTGGCCTTCCTTTTCCTGAGCACCCCACGGGCTTTCCTGCCTCAGACCCTATGCTGTTGCAGTGCCTGGAACGCCACCCCCATGCCCTCTGCCTGGGTGGCTCCTTACCATTCTCCAACAGGCTTCCCTGATCCCTGTGCCTAGAGTGGCATCCCTTGCCCTGTTTATTTCCTTCATTTTCCTTATAAATTGTGAGTCACTGCACTGTGTGTGTACTTGGGTAACAGAATGTTTAAATGTGACTCGTTCTGTCTCTGTGAGGCCCCTGAGTCCAAGGACTAACAAGCGGGGAAGGGCTCCTCCACATTTCAAAGCAGAGCACTGGTTTGCCTGTGCAGGACTTGCAAAGGAGGTGCATGAACACCGGTTTTGTGACTTTTATGCTGTCCCCCATCATGCGGCTATAAAGGGAATGAATTTGAGGAGGGAGAGAGAATTTTCCTTTGGAGACATTTGCAGAAATACTGGTCACTTCCCTCCCACCACCATGAGGCTCCTCCTTTGCCAGTTTAATTCTAGAGAGAAAGGTCTTAGGAGGAGGGCTTGACTGTGTGTCCTGGAGTACTGGCTGGGGTTTGACACCTGCCTGAAGAGCAGTGTCCTGACAGCACAGAGAGAGGGGCAGGGCAGCCCCGTGCAGAATCCGGAATCTGCACGGCCCCAACAGCAGGGCGAAGCTGCTAGTATTCTGGAGGCTGCTTAAAAGGGACCTGCCCCAAGACAGGGTGGGGAGGGGTGAAGGAGTGGGCCCAGTTCTCCCAGGCAGAGAGGGTTAGAGCTGGGAGTCACTGGCCAGAGAATTTTCCAGATCACAGAGTTGGCAGCAGAATCTCTCTCTGAAACCAGGAAAGTACCCAAGGGGAGACAGAGAGAGAGCTTCCGGCCCCTTGAGGACTGAGCTGTTCAGGGGATGTAGACTCACCACCCCTTTTTCCTCCCTCCCTCAGCTTAACCAAGGAGCAGAAACCCAGGCTGGGAAGGAGGAGCCCCAGAAAGAGGGAGAAGGAGACTGCACTCTCTTCTCCTGCCAGAGGCCTCAAGCAGTTCTGAGCTGAAGGAAGAGAACAGGTCTGGGCTTTATCTTCTTATGCTGACATTTTAATTCCTGAGATAATCCTGGTCTGGGGACTAGAAGTGTCCAGAGCATGTTTTATCATCTAAGTCACCAAAAAAGTTATCTGACGGCTTGAGAGTTCATTCAAGGGCCAAGGAGGAGTGAGTGGTGGCCCAGGTCCAGTGCAAAGGGACAGCGAGAGGAAATAATAAGGTTACTTTTTTTTCTCAATGTCTGCCTTTTCCCTGGAGTGTGCGTTTCCTGAGGGAAGGCGCCCACGTTGCCCCTGCACAGGATTGGAGGGTGGTTGACTCTGTGGGTGCTCTGTGGGCCCTGGGCTCTTCCCCTTGCTGCCGCGGGTGCATCTGCTGCAAGCTCACTCCAGTAACCTTGTTGGGCGCCTGCTTCTGAGCCACTGGAGTGGCCTGGTTGGGGGTGCCAGGGAATTCCACAGGTGTGCCGCAACACCTCTCAGCCACCTGCAAGCCTGCAGCCATGTCTGACTGACGTGGGCAGATGAGGGCTCTGCTCCCTTGCTCCAAGATGGGACAGGCTCTGAGGAGCAACTTCTGCTCCAGGTTTCCCTGTAGGGTCAGGCTGAGGCTAGACCTGAAGTCACTTTATTTGTCCAACCTCCCCCTTTGCTTCTCCTGCTTCTTCACCCCGTCACAGCTTCCCTGTGAGCACTTGTGTAATATGTCACCTGCATCTGAATGCAGGGCTCGGATTTGGCTTCTGGTGGACCTGGCCTCAATTAGTCAATATCAGTTGGATGAATGAAGAACTTTTACTGAGAGGCTTTCTGGGACTCTGGAATGCATGACCCAAGGAAACACTGGGCCACGTGGAAGAAAGTCCTTCTAGGCCAGGTGCGGTGGTTCACGCCTGTAATGCCAGCACTTTGGGAAGTCGAGGCAGGCAGATCATGAGGTCAGGAGATTGAGACCATCCTGGCTAACACAGTGAAACCCCATCTCTACTAAAACTACAAAAAAATTAGCCGGGCAAGGTGGCGGGCACCTGTAGTCCCAGCTACTCGGGAGGCTGAGGCAGGAGAATGGCGTGAACCTGGGAGGTGGAGCTTGCAGTGAGCCGAGATCTCACCACTGCACTCCAGCCTGGGCGACAGAGCAAGACTCTGTCTCAAAAAAAAAAAAAAAGGTCCTTCTAGGGTTAGATTAGACGTCCTCTTCCAGGTGATGCACAGGCTGGGGACTTTAGGAATGTGGGCTATTGCTCCTACTTGTCATGTACTTGGAAGGCTGGGAGGATGGAAAGGCAAGTTTTATCATTGTTCGCCTCACTGGCTCATCGGGGCTGGCCTAGATGTGCTTGTCATGAACAGGAAGCCTGTGAAGGGAAGTGTGTGTGTGTGTGTGTGTGTGTGTGTGTGTCTCACGTACCTGGTTCGGGAGTCCAGGAAAGCCTTGTTGACTTGGACCTTGGCCTGACTCACAGCATCGGAGATGGCAGAGGTTCTGGTGGTCTGTGCTTGGGGTTGGAGAGGGGAGCAGGAAGTAGGTTGTCAGACACCACTCCTTTGCAATGTCTTCTACTTTTGTCTCCCTCTTAGCCATCACCCCCACCCCGCAAATCTGGGCAGGCAGGAGATCAAGATTAGGAAAGTTTCATAAGAGTCCTTAAGGGGAAAAAGCACAGAATGGGAAGAATACTCTTGGATCTTCAATAAGATGTCAAAATTGCTCTTCGGGATCTCACTAGAATGCCCAGAGATGGGATGAAGAGGGAGTGTGGCCACTCAGGGTGGCTTGGGTTACTGGGCTGTAGGGATTTTTCTAGTTCCTGGTGAGATGGTCTCGTGGACTATCACAAGTTCATTAAGGAGGACCCACTGATCACCAGGACCCTGACGTAGAGAAGGGGATGGCATGATAGCAATGGGATTCCCTGTTCGCTCTTGTATTGGTGTCTGGAGCATGGAGGACAGGATCTGTTTTCTCAACAAGGAGAGCATAGTGGGTTAAATAATGGCCCTCCCAAAATTCACATATGAATGGAACTTCAGAATGTGACCTTATTTGGAAGTAGGGTCTTTGTAGATGTTATGAATTAAAATGAGGTCATACTGCCTTAGCATGGGCCCTAAATCCAATGAATGATGGTTTTTTGAGAAGAGGAGAGGACACACAAAGAAAAAGGCCATGCAAAGACTGAGGCGGAGATTGGAGTGTTGCAGCTACAAGCCAGGGAACACCAAGGATACCAGGACCACCAGAAGCTAGAAGAAGAAAGGAAGCATTCTTCCCTAGAGTTTTCAGAGGGAGCACAGGCCTGCCAAGACCTTGATTTTGGACTTCTATCTCCTGGACTGTGAAAGAATACATTTCCGTTGTTTTAGGCCACCCAGTTGGTGTGCTTTGTGACAGTAGCCCCAGAAAACCCATAAAGGGAGACACTCACCTCCTGTGGCAGATGCTGCAGCCTGAAGCAAGATGAAAGAAGCCAGGAGGGCTGGGAGATGCAGAAGGATCCTCATCGCTGAAACGAGATGCAGGATCACTCTGTAAGCCTCTCTAGAGCCCAAGTGGGAGGGTTTGAATCACAGAAAGCAGAGAAAGCCCAAGGAACGCCAGACACCCTAACACTGGAACAGAGAAGGAGAAGCCACATTAACGAATGAAACATCTACTTTATGCACAGGCCTGTACTAGGTGCTGGGAGCGATGGAAAGAGGAGAAGCCGTGGTGGAAGGGAAAGAACTCAGGCTTCAGGATCCAAGGCCCTGATTTATCATTCTGCATTTGTTCCAAATAGCTCTGTGACCTTAGGCAGGTTACTTAACATCTCTGGGGTCCTGGCTTGCTATGGGAGGAGGTGAGACCAAGTGATCCAGAATGTCCAATTCTGTCCTGACAGCCTGTGGTCCTGAGACGCTGTGCCTGTCTTGTCACAGGTGTGAGAAATGCTGTTACCAAGCCTGGAGCCTGCCTTTGAGTTCTCCTCCCTCCTTCCCTGCAGGAAACGGCTCCCTGCAAGCCAGTTTCCTCTGGCCCAGCCCCAGGGGAGAGTGCCTGAGAGGTAGACACTCAGCACCTCCCTTCGGAAACCTGGCAGGGGCTTCCCCATCCCTCAAAGTGCCAACTTGATGGCAATACTGAAAGAAAGTTATGACAAAGCTCAGAGCTCCCCTGAGCCCACAGCTGTGCCCCAGCCTGCCTGGGAAGATTCCAGCTCATGGATTAACCCCTTCGCCATGAGCTTTAACTCTGAACAAAAGTCTTTAGACTAAATTTTGTGCGGCTTTGTTTTCTGATGAGGGTCTTCATTGGGCTTAGTGGAGCAGACCCCGTATGTCTTCTGAGGAGATTCTGGCTCCAGCCCGGGGAGGCAGCCACAGCGTGCAGATGGAATGATTGTGTGTTTAGAGCATGGTCCTGAGAGGCTCCTCAGTTTTCACAAGAGCGCACGGGCTCTCCCTGCAGCACGGCATTCACTGGTGGAATCCAGAAGCACACTAGGGAGAGCTGCCTCAGGTTGCCCCCCAGCCACGTCTCCCCGAGGCTCAGCTCCCAGAGAGAAATTCTGGAGCTCTGCCTGACAGATTTCCTCACCTGTCTTGCAGACCCTCTCCAAATCATCTCCCCTTGGAATAGGCCAGACCAGGAGAACTCTGTATCTGGATCAGGTCATTTCAGCCTCTTTCACCCCTGTCAACCTCCAATTTTTTCCCTCTAATAATTTGTATCTTGTTGGATGTACTTTTTGTAAGCTAACTCTAGAGAAAAGGCAAGGCATGAATAAATACCTCTCTGGCCAAGATTCTCTCTGTTACTTCCCCCTTCCCCAAGATGAGTTCTCAAACAGCTTGACCTCTCAGTGGGCTCTTGTCCTTAGAGTCGCATGGCCCCAAGGAGGAAGAGAGTCTGTGACCTCCTATCCCTCTGTCACCATATTTTGCAACTTCAGGGGACCCATTGCAGGGTTCATTGAGTTAGCAGAAATCTGCCCTTCAGACAAACAGAGATGATGGTTTTGGAGGAAAAGGTATCATTGACTTTAAAAAACAATTGTGGTAAAAAAAAAAAACATGGTCAAGTGTGGTGGTTCATGCCTGTAATCCCAGCACTTTGGGAGGCCAAGGTAGCAGATCACTTGAGGTCGGGGTTGGAGACCAGCCTGGCCAACATGGTAAAACCCTGTCTCTACTAAAAATACAAAAATTAGCCAGGCGTGGTGGCATACACTGGCAATTCCAGCTACTGGGGAGACTGAGTCAGGAGAATTGCTTGAACCTGGGAAGTGGAGGTTGCAGTGAGCCAAGATTGCACCACTGCACCCCAGCCTGGGTGACAGAGTGAGACTAAAAAAGGAAAAGAAAAGAAAAAAAACCAAAACCCAAAAAAACTACATAGCATAAAATTTAGCATCCTAGTCACTTAAACTATGTAGTATTATAATGTCAGGTATATTCACATGTTGTACAATGGATCTCTAGAACATTTTCATCCTGTAAAAACTGAAACCCTATACCCATTGAACACCAACTCCCTATTTCCCCTTCCCCCCAGCTCCTGGCAACCACCACATCATTGATTTTTTTAAGAGGGCTGTGAGCACAAGCATTCATTATGTTGTTCTTTGAATGACTAATGCATTTCATAATAAATGACAAACACAAGGTAAAAGATTAGTCCATTTTTTAAAGAGGCATCATCTGAGACAGCCTGAGGAAGACAAGATCATAGAAGAAGACATGAAAGTTGAGAAAATTAAACAGGAAATAATACTTAAGTACTCATTTCTCCTCTCCTCTTCTTTGGGACCCCCTTCATGCTCTCCTCACTGGAAAGTGGAGGAGTGGGGACTCCAAGGCCACAGATAAATTATTTTCCCATGTCTTTGGCAATGTTCTTGGTGGGTGTGAAGGAAGGGTGTGAATAAAAATCAGAGCCAGGTAAATACAAGGTCATGTCACTGAAAAGGGGGTGTGCAAAAAGATTCTAGAGGGACACTGTCTGCAGCCAGAACCACGCAGGGCAAGAGGGCATGGGGCTTTAGAGTGTAAATGACCAACAAGAGACTTCTGTGATGTGTGGATATTTATCTGCATTCTTATCAACATGGTGAGTGCAGAAACCATTTCCCTAGCCCTTTGGTTTGCAGCAAAGCCTGGAGCCTTCCCTGGGACATGAAGCACTATCTGGAGACAGAGCCACAGCCTTTGCCCCTCAAATGCCAGGCTGGTCCACAATCCCATGCCTCCGCTCATGCTCTTCCCTATACAATACCCTCTCTGCCTAATAAACTCCTATTCATCCTTCAAAACCCAGACCAAATGCCACCTTCTCTGTGAAGTTTACCAGTTTTCTCCAGGAAAAGTTAGATTGTTCTTTTTTCTGTCCTCCCACAGTATTTCATCCATATCTCATATTACTGTCTTCACATCTGTTTCCCCTATCAGACCATGAACTCCTGAAGGACTCCATCTTATGTATTTGTTTTCCAGGACCTAAGTATGTCAATATATAATAGGTGTTGGGTGCATGCTGAATGAATGAAACTCCTAGAGCAGAGAAGTTCGGCATCTGGAGGTTGCAGAGGGAGAGGGCAGAGATGGTCTCTCAGCAAGCCTCTCACACTGTAATGTGCCTACTAATCACCCAGAGATTGGGGTAAATGCAGATTCTGACTCAGAAAGTCATAGAAGGGGCCTGAAAATCTGCACTTCCCGTAAGCTCCAGGTGATGATGATGTTGCTGGTCTGCAGACCACACTCTGAGTACCAAGGCCTTCCAGACTTTGGTTCTCAACGTTGCTGAGCAGTCACCAAAGAGATGGGGGAAGGCCCGAGAAGGGATGAAGTCAGTGAGATTCTCTTCCATGACTGGAAAGAGCCCTGTGGAGGGTGGTGGAGTGAGCCAACAGGAAAGCCATAATTCTTGCCCCATCACCCACAGGAACACTCTCTTGATCTTTTGAGTGACTCCAAGATCAGGATGAGAATGAAGAGATAGCTCTTATCAAGCCCTCTAGAGCAGAAATAATCTACTTCAACCAAAAGATTTGAGGCACATAATTGCATCAAAAACAAATATGATTTAACCATCCCATTCTCCCAAAATGAAGCCTGCCTAGCACTGCTGCAAACAGGTCACACACCTGCTTGAGAGCCAGGTGTCCACAGGGCACTTCAGATAGCTAGGACCGGGCAAACTAGATGGTCGGATCTGCTGCAGATGGCAGGCATGAGATGCTGGAAATGAGATGAAGACCTGACAGCTCCGGCTTAGGGAACGCCTTAAAACACTGCAAAATTTCCACTATAGTGGAGAGGCCAGATTTCATCACACTGTCTCAAGAATAGCACAGGGAGCACCATTGTGTCAATGTTTCTCCCCAAATTCCGATATGATTCTGGACACATTAAATTGCTTAGATCTCAGTTCCTAAGCAGGGTGGATAAGAGAGGTCTATGGTACCTTCCAGCCCTAAGAGTCTATGATTCTGTGACATAGTTTTCAGACACAGAAAAGCCTTTTTCCCCCACAGTGGTTGGGGGAGGCTTAATTACATTCTCTCATATACCAAACAAGGGGAGTGTGCCATGGGGTGGCTAAAGCTGGCACCAGAAAATGCCTGATAGAGACAAGTCCAAATCCAGTGCTAAGCTTTCTGAGAAGACATTAGGAAATTTCATCATCAACTTTGCAGAAACCAGGAAAGATGAAAGTTGAAGAGTCTTACCTGCCCAGTGCCTTGTCTTTTTGCAGCAGCCAGGGAGTTGCTCTGCTTGGAGGAGCTGGTCTTTTATACCTTCCAGCAAGAATGTATTTCTGGGAAAGGCCCAGAAGGAAAGATTTTAGTGTGGCTTGGAGGAGACGCTGAGGCTTAGCAGGAAACACCATGTGACTCTGGGCACATGCACCAGGAAACTGCAGAATGGCAGGGATTGGTTAATGCAATACCACTGACTGTGGGTGAAGCAACTCCTCTTTCCATCTTTCAACTTAAGTGCATGATCCTGATCTAGTCCTGGAAGGCAAAGCTGCACGCCCTGAGCACATTTGTCCCTCTTAAACTCCTAATGGGATCCGAATAGCTCTTAGAATTATGAACAATTATTAGGTAGATGCAAAAGTAATTGCAGTTTTTGCAATTACTTTTGCATCAACCTAAATGGTTCTCCTCCCCATTCATATATTCGCTGCCCTTTGATCCCTCCCTTACTTTCCACCCCGTTTACTGTGGAATCCAATGGATTCATCTTTTGGATTTAAAATGATTAATAAACGTTAATTTTTTTTGGTCAAAATTTCAAAATACTTTGGCCACCAAAGGATGAGAAGAGCCCTAAGCTTGTCATTAGGATAGTGGGTTGCAGTCCCCGCCTCTGCCATTGTATGGCTCTAGGCAAGTCACTTCACCTTCTGGTGTCTCCAATTTTCTAGTAGTGAAATCAATGGTTGTTTTTGGTGATTATTATGATTCTATGACTTCATGCCTTCTATAGGGTGGCCCATTAAAAAACTCCAGTATCTGGGAGGCTGAGGTGGGTGGATCACTTGAGTTCGAGACCAGCCTGGTCAACATGGTGAAACCCCGTCTTTATTAAAAACACAAAAATTAGCTAGGCATGGTGGTGCATGCCTGTAATATTTTAGCAATAGCTACCTGGGAGGCTGAGGTGGGAGAATCACTTGAACCTGGGAGGCAGGGGTTGCAGTGAGCCAAGATCATGCCATTGCACTCCAGCCTGGGTGATAGGACGAGACTCTGTCTCAACAAAACAAAACAAAACAAAACAAAACCACCACTATCCTATAAATTATTGACCTAAAGCTCAAGTATAATGCTACATACCTTTCCTACCTCAATGACTTTGGAAATTCAACCTCATTAGATTCATACAAGAAGGAAATAGGAAGATTCTGAGAAAACAAAATTTCATGAGAGTGTATTTTACAGACAGACAATTTAAAACATAATAAGCCTCTTTATGAAATCATACTCTGAGTTGAAAATACTCTGGGAGCAACTGTCAAAAATGTGTCAATCCCAAACCAGACTTCTTGGTTCACCTTCAAAAAAGTGATATTTCCTTTCTCTAGATGATGGAATATATCTAAAAACTGCTTCTCTTGTGATGAATCCAGGCAAAGGAGCTGGGCATCTCAGAAGAAGGCAGGTGTCCAGGAGAGGTGAGTGGGACATCAGGTTCTTCTTGTTTTCTTTGAAACACACTTCATCTTCTTAGCCAAGCATTGTTTCTTTGTCTGACCATTCCCTGAACTTTGACACATGCTTCTCAAGGTTCTTGCCTCTGAATTTTATGCTTAATATGTTCAGGAAGTTGTGTCATTAGGCAGATCTTGACCTAGTTGGTTCTGAATAATTTGAAGATGGAACTTCCTTTTAGAAGACCCTATGGGATAACATTGTTTCCTATGTACAAAATACAGTGAGTTATGGAGTCAGGGTAACAGCAAAATACAGGTCTGATCATTCCTGGGTTTTATCATGTTATGACATGATATGATATGTCCTAGATTTGGTCTTTCTGTAATGGGTCAAATAGGATGGGGCAGTGTCAACTCCAGCCCAGTAAGATCCTTCCTTGATATTGGCGTGAAGCGCACCTGGAGGCAGTCAATCTGACAGTGACATGCCTATTGTCCTATAGCTAATTTTTATTTTAGAGCTTTGCTGACATGTGATGACATGTTGTCATGGGTTTATCTCAGTCTAGTCAAATCTGTAGCACAGGTAGATGTCTTCCCATGTGGGAATGGCAAATTGGCCTGAGAAATGGAGAACGGAAGGCAGAAAGTCCAGGAGAAAGCTAAAAAGGCCAATAGCTTCTCATATGTCAGTGCAGAGTCCAAGATATTTTAGCAATAGCAGCAGCAGCAGGGAGTACCCAATGAAGATAAGGTCTATTGCTGGCACATGGCAGTACACACACCCACACACATACACAAACATGCATGCACACTTCCCAGAAACACACAGTTTATAAATGAGACTGATTTTGGACATAGCTGGCTCACCTCTGTTGCCTTCTAGAATTAGAATGCTGCATGCTGCATACACAACCTTTGGTTGATTCAAAGGATACTCATGGTCAGTAACACAGTGACCAATCTGTTTGTGTAAGGTGATTGTAGCTCTCACACTGGGTCCATGTCAGGTGCCGTCTCCCATGGGCGCGCAGCTAGTCCCTTCCTTAGCTGTCTGTTTTCACCCTTGTCTGCTGTCTTGGCTGTCATTCATAGCTGGGCAGGGTTTTTTTTTTTTTTTTTTCTTTCCTGACTCAAATGCATTTCCTTTTGTTGGTTTCCTAGAACACCAAACAGACCTCATGTCCCAAGGATGGCTTTATATGCCCATGTTTACCCTTTTTGGGATTCATCCACTAGTTCTACCCCAGAGAAGGGAGGAACCCAGGCACTCTGGCTTAAGCTGTCCCTGGCCTCTGGAAGGGTGTACAGATGGCAGAGCTTCTCTGAATGGTGTCCCGGGGCAGTATGAGCTGTTGGAAGGGATGGGGACATTGCCAGGCAGCCCCCGTTGGAGAGAGGAGGGATTTGTAGATGAGAAAAAGAAATATTTGGGATGGGTTGTATGTCTCCCTAGCAGACAGGAAGAGGCTCTGTTACCTTCTCCTAGCAGTTTTTTCTTTCTTTCTTTCTTTTTTTTTTGAGACAACGTCTTACTCTGTCACCCAGGCTGGAGTACAGTAGCGTGATCACCAATCAGTGCAAGGGCTCAAGCCATCCTCCCACCTCAGCCTCCCAAGTAGCTGGGACTATAGGTATGTGCCACCATTCCCTACTAGTTTTTAATTTTTTGTAGAGACAGATGTTCTCTACTAGTCCCTATGTTGCCCAGACTAGTCTAGAACTCCTGAGCTCAAGTGATCCTCCTGCCTGGGCCTCCCAAAGTGCTAGGATTACAGGCATGAGCCACCGAGCCCGGCCTCCTGGTATTTTTTAGTGGGAGAATTGATCTGATGCTTGGTGGCTTCTGAGATTGGCATAACATAAGGGTTCCAACTGGCAAACCTATGATCAATGAATTTTTCCAATTAGCCACAGCATGCCGGGACTGAAGGGCTTCCCTGGGAACCAGCCTGGTGGGTGGGCAGAATGCTGTCTCTTCCTTCTCTTCATTAATGGAAAATCTTTTTTTTTTTTCAGTTAACGCCATTCACCCATTTCCCCTCAGTATTCCCTCTTTCCCTGTTCCTCTTAAATATTCACTGAGCACCTAATAGTATGTGCTTCTGATTTTTTTCTTACTCCTAATCCTCTCTCTTCCTAATTAGTTGATAAATTATGAATTTTAATAAGTTTGCTTAAGCAAAAAAGCTGTCAGATCTGTTCCCTGCCTTGGCAGGGTAATGTAGGCATAGGGCTGGGAAAGGGGACAGCCCTCAATGGAGCAAGACAATCTGACCCTGAATAAATCCTGAGTTGCTCAGAGTAGAGATGGGGCAATAAACCAACACCCACTTAAGCCACAAATAAAGAAACACAGTATTTTAAACAAAAAACAATCTTGATTGCTATTGTTATTCTGTGAGCGGTCTGATGATATGCTTTGTGATAAGTCCATAAAGAAAATATCATGCCAATAAATGCCCTGTTTCTCAAGCAAGCAAGCATGTGTATGTGTGTGTGTATGTGTTTGCACATGCACGTGAATACAGATGTGACAAAGCGACTAGTGAAAATGCAAGGAGCACTGGATTATTAAAACTCAGCAAGCCTGGCTCTAGTCCTAGCTTGCTAGTCAGCAGCATGTGACATTGGGGAAATTACTCTTTATTCAGAGGCCTCAGTTTCCTTCTCTGGAAAGAGAAATGGGTCCACTAAGTAATTGTGTTGGTTTCCTTGGGCTGTGATGTTTAGAATTCAATTGTGAATCAGTAGATCTTGTAGGTCCCAGTGCCGGTCAGCTTCTGCCTCATTGTACAGTCTTGTACACATTACACACCCGCAGGTTCTCTTTATATAAAAGGGGGATGAGAATCCTATGTTCTCACTCTTAGGACCAGCTGGGATGGGGTAGGAGGACAACTATCCCAAAGGCTGTTTCTCCTTAGTTCTGAGGGACAACCAGAAACAAAAGAACAGGAAAAATCTTGTTGAGAAAGAAGAAAAATTCTGCTGGGAATGTGATCATTCTCTCAGTCACTCAAGTTGGAAACCAGGGAGACACCCTGGGTACTTTTCTTTTTTCTTTCCCTCTTTTCTCTTCCTTTCTCCCATCTTCTTGGTCACCGAATCCTGTCCATTTTTCCTTCATAAATCTCTTGCAACTGTGGCTTCCTTGACTTCCCCACATTCTGGTTCTGCCCTGCCCTGAATTACCCCCATTTTTTTTTGAGACAGAGTGTCACTCTATTGCCCAGGCTGGAGTGCAGTGGAAATATCTTGGCTCACTGCAGCCTCTGCCTCCTGAGTTCAAGTGATTCTTCTGCCTCAGTCTCCCAAGTAGCTGAGACTACAGACTTGCGCCACCATGCCCGGCTAATTTTTTCTATTTTTAGTAGAAACAGCGTTTTACCGTGTTGGTCAGACTGGTCTTGAATTCCTGACCTCAACTGACCCACCCACCTTGGCCTCCCGAAGTGCTGGGATTATAGGTGTGAGCCATTGCGCCCGGCCCCAATTTCTGTAATTGCAAAAAAATTACAATTATTTTGCTCCAATGTCATAGCCTTCTCACTGGTCTTCCTGAGTCTGCCCCAAAACCGCATGTCCCTTTACGGTAGTTTTCTGTACACAGTACCCCACTATCCATAGGACAAGGTCTTAGGTATTAGCCAAGGCCCTATACTGCCTAGGCCTGTATCTATCCCAGCCTATCACATATTGCGCCTTTACCCAAGCTTTTTGTTGCAGCCAAGTAAACTATTCATTCCCTGACATGCCATGCACATTCCTGACCCTCTGTCTGTTCGTCTGCCATTCTCCATACCTGACTCGTTTGCTCCCTTCTTGTCCAAGTCCAATATCTAGCTCAAGCCTTCTCTTCTCCATGAGGCTATCATTGTCTGCCAAGCTCCAGAAAGCATTGCACACTAATTCTTTTTCTCCCCTTTGCTTTTCCTATTTATTGTCTCTATGCATCTTTCCTCTTGCCCAAATTAAATCAGAAACTTCTCAAGAGCTGTAAATTACATTGTGCAATCAATAAGATTTGCTTTGATGATAAAGATGATGACACTGGTGTAAAAATTACCTTGGCTTAATTCAGTCATTCAAGTCCAAGTTCTTGACTGTCAGTTCTTTTTTTTTTTTTTTTTTTTTTCTCGAGACTGAGTCTCGCTCTGTCGCCCAGGCGGGAGTGCTGTGGCCGGATCTCAGCTCACTGCAAGCTCCGCCTCCCGGGTTCCCGCCATTCTCCTGCCTCAGCCTCCCGAGTAGCTGGGACTACAGGCGCCCGCCACCTCGCCCGGCTAGTTTTTTGTATTTTTTAGTAGAGACGGAGTTTCACTGTGTTAGCCAGGATGGCCTCGATCTCCTGACCTCGTGATCCGCCCGTCTCGGCCTCCCAAAGTGCTGGGATTACAGGCTTGAGCCACCGCGCCCGGCCAAGCTGTCTCTGAAGACCGTTTTCTAGCCTGAATGAAATACTGCACTAAAGTGTAGCTAGGGCTAGGTGTGGTGGCTCACACCTATAATCCCAGTATTTTCAGAGACTGAAGCAGGAGGAACCCCTGAGGCCAGGAGTTCAAGGTTACAGTGGGCCATGATAGTGCCACTGTACTCCAGCCTGGGTGACAGAGCAATACCCTGTCTCTTAAAAAACCTTAAAAATAAAATTTTAAAAAATGTAGTTAGAAGGAATAATTTCTGAATTTTTCTCTTTTCTCTTCTATTTTCCTTGATTTAGAGCCCCCACTGCCCATCACAAGCTGGAAAGGAACAGAGAGAGCCAAGAGATCATAATGAACGACTGAATCTTGTCTCATTTACAGTTGGGAGAAAATAGCAGTTCAAGCCCCCTTCTCCAAACCTAAGATGGAACTTCAATGCCTATTTCCCAGATGCTGAAAGAATCTTTCAGAAGCAACAGAACTCATGCTTGCTTCGCGCCCAGGCTTGCAAAGCTGCCTTCTTAGGTGTCTATGCTGGAGGGAGGCTGCGGTCCTGAGTAGGTGCCCCGAGAAGGCGTCCTGCCCTGCTTGCTGACTAACCCACAGGTTGGGGGGCAGAGTGCAGGGTGTGTGCTCCCTAGGACTTACTGTAAATGGCTGAATTCTCACTACTTCCCTCCTGGGGCTCCGCCCTGATGATTTTGGGGTACATGAGGATAATAGATGCTCTGGAAGATTGTGGTGGAGGCTGGAATGGGGTGAAACGCTCCAACAGTCTCTGTCTGTGATGGAATTCCTTCCACTCTGGTGGGAACCTGGGGAGGGTGAAGTGGTTATTGCCTCTCACTCTTCTCACAATGCTAAGAAGGGGACAGAGGCCGGGGAGAGGAAGTGAAAGAATCTTCACCGTCCTACTCTCTTTAAATGAATACAGGCTTTCCAAGTGGCCGAAAGAGTGCACCGTAGAATGTGCTTCTACTCAGCGAGCAACACGGCCTCTGATATGCCTCTAACAAAAGATAATCGTGACCAGGTACTCCTGAAGGAAACTGAGATTCTAAAATTTCTTTGATATCTTACTTAAGAGAAAAATTTTTATTTTGGAACAATTTTGGATTTATCATTATTATTACAAAGATAATACAGAGTTTCTGTACACTCCACACCCAGTTTCCATTATGATTATCTTATTTTACAATGGTACGTTTGTCACAATTAATAAAGCAATATTGTTACATTATTATTAAGTAAAAGGTCAATATCTTACATTTTAACTTTCAAATTCATGCTTTTATGTCCCACTCAATAACTTACCTGTTTGCTTTTATATAAAAATTTAAAATTTACTTCACAGCAACCTACAATGGACACTCCAGGAACATGAGCCAAATGTAACCTGTGCTCTGTGTTTTCTGGGCCAGTACGGTGTTCCCTGGGGGAGGCGTCCAGCTTGGGCCACTGAGAGTGAGTTCAGAGCGGAGTCGGAAGGAAATCTCATAGGGCTCTGATGGCCTGTTCGGTGCTGTAACCCCAAGGGTCACTCAGTCTCTGAGCCTCGGCTTCCTCTTCTGGCAAGTGGGAGTAGGAGCAGCAGCCCGCCTCACAGGGTGCCACGAGGATAAGCTGGGCTCAGGCGTGCAGACACGTAGAGCATGATTCCCACAAAGTGATTAGCATCAGGAGCATCCCTGAGACAGGAAGGTGAGCAGTGACTTCAGCACGAGCTGGTTCTTGAGACGTCATGCTTTCACCCTGCCAGCCTCCTCTGAATCTCCACTTCCAATCCTGAGGAGGGTCAGAAGCTGAAACTGAAAAAGGAAATGGCTTCAACCCCACGTCCTCATGGCCGGGTTGCTTGCCACAGACAGGGGAGACAGAAAGGGAAAGTTTCTTTTTTTGGCTTCTGCTGCTGGACATTCTCTCTCTCCTGGTGACTGTGTGGCTCTCCAATGATCTGCTTGCTATCTAATGGGAAGAAAGAAGGAGGTGATGTGGGCCATGGCACCACCCTGTCCCCCAAGGAGCCAGCTCTAGTTTTGCCTCTTTTGGTCACATGGATTTGAAATAGTCCATCTTCAGCCTGAGGACAGCAGCTGGCCCAGGCAGGGTTTCTGCTCTTGAACTCGGCAACCTAGGCTAGTTGCTGTCACCTCTCTGAAGTCCCTGTGGACCCGGCTACTGCATAGCTGATGATGTCTGTCTGCTGAAATAAAGCCTAGCAGAATTTTCTAGCCTGACAGCTGAAAACCAGCCTGCATTGCTTATAGTAACTCATGTTTTCTCTTTTCCCTTCTTGCTACAGATTTTAGGAGGCCCATTTTGACCTCAGTACCTGGCCCCACATGAGGTGACGGCCCCACTGTTAGCTTTCCATGTCTAAACTCTGAAAATTTGCCCTGAATTTGGATCCAGTGCCTGAGGCACTGCCACTTCTGGCAGTTTAATCATGGTCCTTACTGGATTTCACAACCTACAAATTCAACTGGCCCTTCTAACCCCTGCAGTGGGGTAAAAGTCCAGCCTCTCCCTCCAGCCCCAAGTTCTAAAACCTGGCTCCGGCCCACCTTCATGAACCCTCCCATTTGTGGCTATGTCAAAAGAGAAAATGACGAATGGGCAAGAAAAACAGAAACTGATCAAATCTGCCTGAGATTCTGACCTCCTAGAACTTATAAAATCTGTAGCAATAAAACTTTACAGCCTCAGATTAGGGATCTGCAATTCCCTGCTCACAGCTGCAATGACAGCAAGAGACCATGACCTAACAGACTCAATTGGGACGATTCCCGTTTGTGGGATGTTTTCGATGTGTCACACAATCCTAGATTTCCTTGCTATTTTTATCTTTTGAAACATTCTCCAAGAAATCTAATGTGGAAGTTCCTTTTTTTAAACATAATTATGTTGTTTCACTTCAAGTTGATGGAGTTCTAGAGATCATTAATTAGGCTACTGTAAGAGGGCAATGTAATTCCAATCTGCAAAAATACAGGAAATGTTAATTCTCTAGAAATGGAGTTAAGCATAGATCTGGGACTCATAAATAACAGGGCAGTGTTTTGACCCTGGTGATATTTGCCAAGTAAATATAGCAAGGGGATTTTAGTCAGCCTGGCTTTGCCTCATCCTGATTTATATTTGTCTGATTCTTTTAAAAAGTAAGCTTAGAGTTTGAACAACATTTAAGAAGCCTCTGGTTCAGTGATTCCCAAAGGCTAATCTGAATCAGTGGAAAGCTTGGGAAAAATACAGGCATCCAGACTCTGCTCCTGGTCTACAGAATTCTAGCTCTGGCATTGGAGTTGGAGAACCTTTATTTCTAATAAATCTCCTGGGTGAGTCTGACATACAGGCAGATTTGGAAACTACTAATCTAGCTGAACTTTCTACCCTCTGTAGGATTCCCCACTACATCTTTGTTCCTAGAGGTATGGTCCAAAGTCTTACAGCACTGGAATATTCTGGGAGGTACTCAAAAATACAGAATCTCAGGCCCCACCCAGATGTACCAAATCAGAATCTGCATTTTCACAAAATCCCCAGGTCATATTTATTTACATTAAAGCTGACAGATGGTCATCAAGTCACTGCTTGAACACTTCCGGGGTTGGGGAGCTCAGTATTTACATGGCAACCTGCTTCACTGCTGGGAGGCTCTAATTATCCAGCTCTTTCTTATATTAAGTTCACTCACTCATTCATGCATTCATTTTACGAATATGGGCAGACTCTAAAAAGTTGACCAAGATGACATAGTCACATGATCATATTTCAGCCATTTTTAAATTGCAGTTCATAGGCAGAGAGAACCCTTTTTTTTCTTTTTCAGACGGAGTCTTACTCTGTCACCCAGGCTAGAGTGCAGTGGCGTGACCTCGGCTCACTGTAACCTCCGCCCCTTGGTTCAAGCAATTCCCCTGCCTCAGCCTCCCGAGTAGCTGGGATTACAGGCACCTTCCACCACGTCCAGCTAATATTTGTATTTTTAGTAGAGACGGGGTTTCACCATCTTGGTGGTCTTAGCTAGGTTGGTCTTGTACTCCTGACCTCGTGATCCACCTGCCTCGGCCTCCCAAAGTGCTGGCATTACAGATGTGAACCACCGTGCCTGGCCAAGAGAGAACCTCTCTTAACAGAGATGTATTTTCTTCTTTGTTTTCACATAGGCCAGTGTGAAACTAAGGGCCTGTCTCTTGTAGAACCTTACTGAGGGCTGTAAGAAGTTGGTAACACAATCCAACATCCTGAATTTTCCCCACCATCCTCCTAATGCAACAGCCTGCATAGTATATGGTCCCCATTCCCAGGCACATCAGCGTAACTCCTTGCTATCCGAAGTGTGGTCCACGGCTCAGCAGCAGTGGCATCACCTGGCATCCTAACAAGCCTGCATTCTCTCAGGAATGCAGACTGTTAGGAATGCAGACTCTCAGTTCCCACCAAATCAGGATCTTCATTTGAACAAGATCCCCAGGTGATTTTTTTGCACATTAAATTTCAACAGGCAGAGAAACCGGTTCTATTTCACAATCCTTAAACAGGATGGCTAACTTTCTAGCTCAGGATCAAGTCCTATCTCTTCAGCCAATTCCATCAAGTATAAGCCTGTTAATTGCAGGATGCCTACTTCCAGGCACACATTCTATATTACTTAGCATGTGTTTGCTGCGTCCAGGTCACCAACAAACTAGCTCAATTTGGCTTAACTAACAAGGCAAATTTCAAATTGAATGCTGGCCACATGGATGGTGATTATACGATTTGTTCCATATTTGTGTTGCTGTTTTTGGTGTAATTTTTTTTAGTCGTGGTAAAATACATATAATATAAAATTTACCATCTTAACCATGTTTAAGTGTACTGTTCACTTTTGCCAAGTATCACATTGCTATGCAACCAATAATTGTTCCATATTTTTTGATCATTTGAAACAAACAAACAAACAAAAAACACCTCTAACAAGAATCCAGGGATAGGATGGACTTCAGGGTTGACTTACTTCAATGGGCCTGGCTTCCTTCACCCTACAGTTCTCCTGGCTTTGCCTCCTCTCAGCTTTAACTCCGTCCTTCCCTTGCAGGCAAAATGGCACACAACCCTCTGCAGGGGAAGGCAGAGAATCTCACAGAAGAGAAAGAATAGCTTTCCCAGAAATCTTGGCAAGCCTTTTCTTACATCTCACTGGTCTGAATTGGAACATGTGCCTGTTCCTTAATTGGCAAAGAGATTTTATGGGTCATCAGATTATTGCTGTAGACAGATCACTTGGCTTTAGGGTGGAGAAGAGTTGGAGGGTAGGACTGGAGAGAGGAAGGTCAGGAGGCACCCTGTTGCAATGATGAAGGTAGGAACTAATGGTATCCTGGAACGAGGTAGTCCTGGTGGTCCTGGAGGTGGAGACAACAGCTTGGGGCCCACCAAGTGCGGGTACCCAGAAAGGTTGTCACACTGGCCCTTTGCCCTCACTGGTGGAGGGCAGCTGCCCCACGTGATGAGGCAAGGGGCCAACTGAACTGTTAACACATCACTGTCCGTGGACGGTGGAACTAAAGGAGCACTGTAACAACCCTCTGGGCCTTTGGGATTTTGGGCATCCTTAGTTGGGTGCCTCTGTAGGCCCTGCATGGAGATTGCTCCTGTGTTGTCACTTGGAGTGGCTGATTGGACCCCACACTCACTCACTCATGTGCTCCCTCCTGCAAAAGGTTGAGCATGGTGGGCTGAGTAGAGGGGGTACCCCTGCCGTGAGTCCAGTGAAGGGGCTGAGAAAAATCCTGCGTCAGTTTTAATACAGTTGAGACAAAATACACCCATGCCCCAGCACGCAGCTTTGCATTTCCTGTTTCATCTGCCTGGAATGCTCATTCTCCAGATATCCACATGGCTAATTTCCTCACCATCTTTGAGTACTTGCTTAAATATCACAGTCTTAGTTAGTGTTTCCAGATTTCCCTTTTAAAAAATGTCAGACTCTTCTTTTTCTACAATACTTTTTTTGCTTTTTTGAGACATGGTCTCGCTCTGTTGCACATGCTGGAGTGCAGTGGCACGACTATGGCTCACTGCAGCCTTAAACTCCTGGACTTAAGCAATCCTCCCACCTCAGCCTCCTGAGTAGCCACAACTATAGGCACGCACCACCATGCCTGGCTAATTTTTTTTTTTTTTAATTTGTGTAGAGACAAGGTCTTGCCATGTTGCCTAAGCTGGTCTTGGCCTCAAGCAATCCTCTTGCCTGGG